TACGCGTTGGTCCGAATGACTCACCGACGCGTTATTTGTTTGGCGGCAACGAGGTACTGCGAGTTCAACTCTATTCTGACCTCGGTGTTTTGCTGTCATCAGACTGCAAGTCCAGTGAACACTGGACGACAGCTGCTCGCAAAGGTTTCAACATGTTGTGAATGATCCGCAGGTCATTCGGGATCATGACCACCGAAATGTTCGTTAGACTATTTTCGGCTTTTGTAAGGCCGCACTTGGAATACTGCGTCCAGGCTTGTCCTCCATGCCTGGTTCGTGATAAGATGGCAGTTGAACGAGTCCTGCGGTCCGGGACGAAAATGGTGCACGAATTAAAGAACCTGACGTACTCCGAGAGGCTACGTAAGTTAGATATGTTTTCCAAGTATTACAGGCGGCTTCGGGGCGACCTGGTCCTCACATATCGTATACTGATGGGTCAGATTGGTCCTGATTTGACTGGGCTGTTTCGCCCAACTCGACTGCCAACCCTTCGTGGCCATCCATTATAGTTGCACAAACGCCGGTCTGACCGGGTTTGGGCAGCTTTTCGGTTATCGCGTAGGGTTATAGCTTATTGGAACGCACTGCCTGCAGACGTCGTGATGGCACCGACGGTGAAAGAGTTCGAGCATCGATTTGACGTTCACTGTCTGCATTTTAAAGTCTTTCCCTTCATGTCTTAAACTTTTCTTCGTCTACTACGGCCTACGCTTCTTTAAGTCATTTTAACTTACATCTTAATATTACCTGTGATATTCGATAAGCTTGTCTTCTCTGTTTCCTTTCCTTTACTGACACTATTGTTTTCTTTTATTCTTCACGTGGCCGGCACAGCGGGGACTGCTAGTGCAGCGCACGTGGGCATTGTTTGGTTGACCATGTGACCATGTGTTGATTTGGCTCTCCTTTGGCACATCAAGGCACCGGTTTCCCTGTTGGATCAACGACGCTTTCGAGGGTGGAACATTCGCTGGATTTTCCTACTGTTCCGATCCCACTTGAACTTGAATTTGAACTTATTCGACGGAGGCGAACAGGGAATCAACATTGTCTTGGCTTTCCGCTTAGGTGGGAAACAAGAAGATTCCCTCAAGGTTCACCCCCTTAAGGTTGTGTTCCAAGACGAGGAAGAATGTCGACGCATTCTTCTACGGACCTCACGTCTCAAAGGCAAGCCGTTTTATGTTGAGAGATCTCTTCCCGGAAGATCGGATCAAAATGAAGAAAGCTGTTGATGAGCTGGGAACTCGTCGGGCGAGTGGTGAAACGAACCTTCATATCGTGGATTTTCGCGTAGTTCGGAAAACTCCGAGAACCCCTTGGATGCCGATTTTTGTTACCCCAGGACAGTAACGTAAAAGATCGGACTGCGTGTGCTGTTCCCCAGTGTTCGTAGTCTGCGAACTAAACTTGATGAGATCCAGACGCTTGCCGCAAATCTTTGTCCTGATTTAATGACCTTCACCAAGACATAGTTATTCCCAGACATCATTGACTCTGAAGTGTCCGTCCCTGAGTACCACCTTTCTCGGGCCGATCGTCATGGGACGAAGTCGGGGGCGGCTTAACAATCTACTGGAGAGCGGATCTGAATTCCCATCTAGTTAAGTTCTCAAGTGACAATGACAGCGATTTCGATGCTCTTTGGTGCCGCATTCATGACGCGTGCAGATCTTCCTTAATTGGTGTCATCTACAGAGCGCCATTGGGCGCTGGAGCTCGCCTGTTGGTACTGATCAGAAAGCACAGTGCTGGAAAGCATTGCCTTCTATGCTCCTAATATCGACTGCGACCTTTTTCTTTGCAATCGTCCAGCTGATTCCTTTGGTGCCGTCTTCCTCTTTACCGTTCTCGACTGCAGCCTGTATCACCATGCCTCTATGCCCACTCGTATTCTCGCCGGCCATTCGCTTCATATCCTGGATCTTCTGCTTTCCCCAGCCCAGACATCATGGACCTAACAATCTTTTAGCCCATTGGTAAAAGCGATCATTGTACTGTCTTATTCCAATGGAGTCGTCGCTTTACCATTCACAACCCATGTGCCGTCCGCCGAAATTTCTGGCCTGCTGATGCCCTTCGTCTTAAAACGGCTTCAGGTATTTTGGATTGGTGTACTCCCGAACATCTCAATGCGGACGATGCCTGGAATCTTTTGTACTCCAAGCTGACATCACTCATCGAACAACTTGTACCCATCTCCAAAAAGCGACCGCTCTCTAGAGGCCCTCCGTGAATCGATCGTGAATTGAGATCCCTGATGAACAGAAGGCGTGAGTAGTGGGACCGCTTTAGGATTACACGATCAGAGCATGACTACCTCGGTTAAAAACGGTTAGGAATACCTGCACCCTGAAAAAACCTGAGAAACGTCAGCAATATGAACTCTCCCTAGCTACCCTTTTTAGGAATACTCCTAGGACCCTTCTCTCCTACCTCAAACGGAGCACTAGAGCGGGCAGTAGTATCCCTACCTTGTGTTCCTTCGAGAATGGGGATCCAGTTCACGAAGACACCAACAAAGCCAGCATCCTGGCGCGGCAGTACTCTTCAGTGTACTCAACAGTGTCGTTCTCTGACAGACCAGTGTGCACTCCCCATTCTCTGTTAGAGCACGTCGATGTTAACACTGACCTCGTGTTGAAACTTCTCTGTGAGTTGGATCCTTACTCATCGCCTGGTCCTAACGACTTGCACCACTTTTTTCTCAAGACTGTGGCCCAGTACATTGCTTTACCTATCTCGCAGGTCTTCCGTCGATCGTTTCAATCTGGACCTCTCCTGACCGCTTGGAAGATGGGCATCATCAAGCCCATATATAAAGGAGGGAACCGGCAAGACCCAGCTAGGTACCGGCCCATTTGCCTTACATCGATAGTGTGCTAAGTCATGGAGCGGGCACTTCGGCTTCATCTCGAGCGGTTGGATCTTATATCCGGTGCCCAGCACGGTTTTTGCAAAGCTCGCTCTTGCCCTACCAACTTGCTTATAGCTAGAGAAAAATGGGCAAATTCATTGGATGTTGGCAAACGCATGGATGTTGTGTTCGTAGATTTCAGTAAGGCTTTTGATAAGGTCCCGCATGAACAGTTTCTCTTCAGACTCCGAGGAATCGGTGTCACTGGAAACTTTCTCTCGTGGATTTCCGATTTCCTGCACAGTCGTTCCATGCTGGTGAGAGTGAACGAAACGTATTCTGATCCTGTACATATGACCAGCGGTGTCCCACAGGGCCCCGATCTCTTCAACATCTTCATCAACGATCTGCCATCTGAGCTTCAATCGGACTGCTTGATTTATGCGGATGATCTAAAGAAATGGGAGGACGTATCCTCTCTATAGAATGCTGATCGACTACACGAGACGCTCGATCTCCTACACTACTGCTCGATTCGGTGGCGCTTACTCATTAATTAAGACAAATATTCCGTCCTGCCCATCGGCGCTTCTGAATCATTCGTTGCTTACCACATAGGTGACTTCTTGCTCAAAAATCTCACTTCTGAGAGAGTTCTAGGCGTGATTATTTCTGCAGGCTTAAGATCCACTCGCGACACCATGAAGAGGCTTGCCGCTGCCTACAGGATGTTTCACGTCATCCGAAGAGCTTTCTGTCGCCTGACAGCGGAACTTTTTAGACTCCTGTTCACCTCGCATGTGCGCCCGATTCTGCTACCTACCCGCTTTCCAAATTTGCGCACGACATGATCGAAAAGGTCCAACGACGTGGATCAAAGTTTGTCTCTGAGTTACCTGACCTGCTGTATCCCCTTCGGCTTTGACATTTGAATATTTTTTCTATGGATTACCGACGCCGGCGCGGGGACTTGGTTTTTACCCGTCGTATCCTCAGGGGAGAGCTGCAAGAATTCTTCCACCTCAACATTGAGAGTTCAACTAGAGGCCACCGATGGAAAATATTCAAACCACGGAGGCTCAAAGTATGGTCCATTCTTACTCTGTCCACCCGCGTTGTGAATACTTGGAACCGGTTGCCGCAGCTCGTCGCTGATGCACAGACGGAGGATTGCTTCAAATGACTACTTGATTCACACCTGTTGAATATGCCGGGATCGTGTTGCTTCAGCTACGAGTGCGATGGCCTCTCCGGAGATGCCGTTGCGCAGTGACAAACATCCCAGCGATGATCGGGAAGGGGATTTCCTTCCTGCTCTCTACTACCCAATGAACTCAATGAAGAGCTTGGAACGCCGGACCGGAGGAATATTACCGTTAGACGTCACGGACGGGGTGAAAGTGTGGACGCTTCCGCGGGAATGACTCGTTTCCGAGACGCATATGCAACTTTTCCATTGAAATAACCCTTTGCACATGTTAATGTACGTTTTGACGAGCGCGTGCGGTTTTGCCTTCTGAGGCGAAAATAATGCATGAGTTAAAGATGCTGACCGTATTATGACTGGGAAGGTTGGCCCTGATTTGTCCTGGCTATTTAGTTCTGCTAGATTATCTGGTCTCCGCTGGCATTATATGGAGCTGGACAAACCGCGGTCCGATCGAGTTAGAGCGGAGACACGGTTATCGCGTCGGGTCATCGAGCGCATAGGATACCGGGCTTAGCTGCTTTATGGGGGGATATGGTATTGCTATGGTTAAGGGGTATCTTAGGAGCGGCTTCGTGTGTTGAGGGGGGGGGTTACATCGCTGTTCCTGGGGAGGGGGGAGAGGTAAGGTGGACATGAGGATGTAGGAGGGGGTAGGGGGAGGGTCGTGGGAAAGAATAATGGGGGGGGTGAGAGGGGGTCGGGTGTGGCACCGTAGAGGGTACACGGGTGTGGGGGAAGAGCTCTTGCTTATCGTACCTGTCATAGCAGCAGGATACTGACATTGTAGGGAAGTGGGCGTTGCCGGAGTTACGTGGATGGGGTCCTGGCGGGGGGGAGGGGAGGGGGTTCGTTTTTCGTTTTTAGACAACCCATCAAGAAAGGCTCGGAGCACCCACCTTTAATCAACTCCTGGTATCGTTCGACCCGCCTCTAGATGGTTTCATCTGTACGGCGTTTGCCTTGTAACTTTCGTGTCAGGTACTCGGGTACTTGTACCTTACCGGTCGTGGCGTCGTTTCCTTGTCGGGTTTCGTGCCCGCGTTTGTTGTGCATGTAATTTCTGGGATAAACTGACCGGTAAAGGAAGCGTGATTGCCCAGGGCGTGGAGGGTGTGAGCATGGCCGGATTGGTGGAAGACTGTGATGGTGTGGGCAGATAGGGGGAGGTCGGGGTAGGAATGAGGGAGATGTTTCTGTATTTGCATTGGTTTGGACGTCCCGGGGGTGGGGACTTTGGTCAGGGGGAGTTATGGTATGGTGATTGAGGGGGATTGGGGGGAGGGGTCGTGGCTTTAGAGAGGGTTTGGATCTTTTCACTCTAGGTATGGCTGGTCGGGGCGAGGGGGCAAAAGGGTAGTGGGGGGCGTGCTGCGGGGCTAGTGGTTCGGCATGGTATTTTCGACCGGGCACAGAGAGCTGAGACGACATAGGGGGGGTTCGGTGATCACGCTTTACCTGGGGTTTTTTTGTGGTCGGTTGACGTAGGGTGGGGGGATCCTTATAGGGGTTAAGTGGGGCCACACTTGGGGATGGGGAAGTACTCATGAGGCACGGTTTGTGTTGCGCAGGTAGCATGGCTAAGGTTGGGGTTGGGGCGGGTTCCCAGAAAAGGGGTGTTGTCCTTTTCCAGTGTCTTTGACCGTGGTTTGGTTGCCTGGTGGTCTACAGTGGAGGACTAAGGCTTTGCGCAAGAGGGGGCAGCGCACATGTTTTCGGGCGGCCTGTGTGGGGAGGGTGTTTAGGTGTGGATTTAGGGAGCTTTTGGTGGTGGTATTGCAGGGTCGAGCGAAGGGGATGTAGTTGACCTGTAGGACAGGGCGTTTTGGGGGGGAGGGGCAGGGCGGGACTTTCTGGGGGTATACTTACCAAAGGGTCCGTACTAGGGCGCTCGTCCACACTGTGCTAGGCGGGGGCACCACGATCCTGGGGACTGGGTGGGGTACAGTATGGGTGGCGTTTCCGGGTGATTGATCTGGTGGCACTTTGACACGGCTCGTTTTTAGAAGATAGGCGGCGGTGTTGAGACCTGGGTGGAAGTCGGGGTGGGGAGTTGGGGGGCCCGAATGCTTTACGGGGAGATACGGGGGACTCGTGGCGGCTTGCCTTCATTTCCTTTTGTGATGGCTAAAGGAGTCTGTCCTAACTCGTCCTCCAGTCTACAACCATCTGACTCAGAGACACGATGTGGCAAATTGAGATGCTTAAGACCAGTGACCAACTTTACTGGTGGAATGCAGTGTGACATCTGCTGTCGCTGGTTTCGCGAAAGATGCACTGGTTTGAGTACAGAGCAGTATACTGTGACGGCGAATAGAGTGTGCTTTTTAGTTGTCCCACTTGTTACAAACACAGAACTCGATGTAGTTCTATTTTGGATGCAAGGTTTTCAGCACTCGTTTTGAGGTTAGAAAGCATGGAAAACCTGCTTTCTTTGGTGTCTGACCTGGATCGGAAAGTGACGGGGGCTGTAACTAGCCTTGAAAACTTACGGTGCCTGGCCTGCGGAATATCGGACTTTTGTGCGACTCCCCGGACTGGATCAACTTGACGATCTTACCGACTGGTGAGCGCTTTTTCTGTGATATGCGACCCGTCAGACGGTGTCTTCAACTGAGCCCTTAACGAGAAAGAGTTACAAGCTCATACGCCTGTCAAAAGGAAGCGAAGGAAGACTAAGAAGGCAATAACCTCACTAAGATAGAAGCGAAAGAGGCCGCAGCGTGTATGACAAGTCCCCTGAGTACAAACGCACCGAAACAATGTTCCATCGCCGTTCCGCTAGCTCCACAAGCTCCGTTTACCGCAACCAATGATTATAAATCGGCAGAAGATAAGTTGTACATGTCCCCACCCAGTGGTTCTGTAACATGCGGTGTAAACACCTTACGTCGGGGAGACATGTACACCGACAGTAGCGTAATCTTTAGAAATGTCATTAAGTCCTCTGCCGCATCTCCAAAAGAAAGGATGTCACATGATCTCGAATGGCTTAAAGTTCTCGTTACTAAACTCCTGCCTCCTGGAGTGACTGCGTAAGCTAACCAGGCATGGATACGTACTGATCAATAGTCCCACCCCAAAGCCTCGATTACTGCGAGCGGTTTTTTCCACACCAGAGGAGCGACAAGCACTTATGCGGTTTGCTTTTAAACTAAATGGTTCTGGAATCAGCATACTGCCGGACCTTCCTCTAGCGGACCCATTGTAGAGGCTGGACCTTACTGTGGTGCGATGGTTTGTGTACTTCAGAGATCCATTGAGCTATACTGGGTGGTACTTTTTTGCACCTTCAAATCCACTCATACCAGATTGGTCAATAGTTAGAGGCCAGACAAACTCCTGTTCCTCCAAATTTGGGGTTGGAATGAGGGTGGCTACTTATTCCTTAAAACGGACTCCTTGTAGTCCAACGCCAAATCCGCTGCCTTATGGTCAGGTTTTTGAATCAAAGGCTTTGACTGAGAACCCTAATCGTTTTCCTGTCTAGGTCTGGGCGACCTGACATTATCTTGCCCACGCAATGTTATGGATCTTTCGTCAAACAATTCCTTGATGCTCTGGCCACCGCAGAGAATAATCAACGGTGCCCTATCTGCTGCATCGAGCAGGGTGGATAGGGGTTTGGCTTCTACTGCTCAAGCCTACCCATCTTCTTATTCCACCTTTTACGCTTTTTCACTCTTACTGTCCCTTTCCAGCTTCACTTTTATCCCTGTTTCCAACCCTCCCAATTCTTGACCATCACTTTGCATTGATAGGTTTTCACCCTTTACTTTCAACTCATGTGAACGCGGAGCATCATTCCTACCCTGCTCACAAGCCCATGTTCAAACAAGCGGCCAAGCCCAGTTCATCAGCTTCCAGTTGGAGCCCTCGATCATCCTTCGGATTGGCATGCCTCAATGTACGCACATTAGAGACCCTCTCGATCGGTATCTGCTGCTTATCGGAGACCCACCTGCAAGACTCGAGCTCAATGCTCACTTTGCGATCCCCTTCAGGTGACAAGTTCAAGTTCAAGTGGGAGCGGAACGGTAGTGAAATCCCGTGAATGTTCCACCTTCGAAAACGTCGTTGATCCAACAGGAAAATTGGTGCATTGATGTGCCAAAGGAAATCCAAATCAGTACACACGATTCACATGATCAACCAAACAATGCCCACGTGCGCTGCACTAGCAGTCCCCGCTGTATCGGCCACGTGAAGAATAAAAGAAAACGGTGGTATCAGTAAAAAAAAGCCGAAGACAAGCTTCTCCAATTTCGTAGGCGGTATTAAGATGTAATTTAAAATGTGTTAAAGAAGTGTGGGCCGTAGTAGACGATTAAAAGTTTAGGACATTAAGGGGAAGACCGAAAGCGTCAAGTCGATGCTCGAACTCTTTCACCGTCGGTGCCATCACGACGTCTGCAGGCAGTGCGTTCCAATAAGCTATAACCCTACGCGATAACCGAAAAGCTGCCCAAACCCAGTCAGACCGGCGTTTGTGTAACTTTAATGGGTGATCACGAAGGATTGGTGCTCGAGTTGGGCGAAATAGTCCAGTCAAATCAGGACCAATCTGACCCATCAGTATACGATATGTGAGGACCAGGTCGCCCCGAAGCCGCCTGTAATACTTGGAAAACATATCTAACTTACGTAGCCTCTCGGAGTACGTCAGGTTCTTTAATTCGTGCACCATTTTCGTCCCGGACCGCAGGACTCGTTCAACTGCCATCTTATCACGAACCAGGCATGGAGGACAAGCCTGGACGCAGTATTCCAAGTGCGGCCTTACAAAAGCCGAAAATAGTCTAACGAACATTTCGGTGGTCATGATCCCGAATGACCTGCGGATCATTCACAACATGTTGAAACCTTTGCGAGCAGCTGTCGTCCAGTGTTCACTGGATTTGCAGTCTGATGACAGCAAAACACCGAGGTCAGAATAGAGTTGAACTCGCAGTACCTCGTTGCCGCCAAACAAATAACGCGTCGGTGGGTCATTCGGACCAACGCGTAAAACGGAACATTTCGCTAAATTAACGGGCAACTGCCACAAAAAGGACCAGTCCCCAAGTCTATCCAGAGCCCCCTGTAGGGTCAGTGGACCAATCGGATCGTCTATCGTGAACCAGAGTTTCAAGTCATCCGCAAGCATTAAGGATGGCACACCCAATTCATCAGGTAGGTCATTAACGTATAAAGTGAAGAGGAGGGGGCCAAGGACTGAACCTTGCGGAACGCCACTGAGAACACATTGGCGGAAGGACAGGCTTGAACCCAGCCGCACACACATTTCCCTTCCGATTAAGAAAGCTGAAATCCATCGTAAGACTGGTCCAGAAATACCGTAGGATTTCAGCTTATACAAAAGACGCGAATATGGAACGGTGTCAAAAGCTTTGGAAAAGTCAATGAACAGCACGACCACTGCCTTCGCGCAATCAACGGCTTCGGTCCAGTGTTCACGAGCGGTTAACAAGTTGGTAAGGTATGCATAGACATTACGAAAGCCGTGCTGAGAAGAATTCAGCAACTCAGACGCTCTCAAATGTCCTTCGAGAGCGTCCCTCACGAGCTTTTCCAACAATTTGACGAGCACGCTCGTCAAACCGACTGGTCTATAGTTATCAGGGAGGTGCTTATCACCTTTCTTAAAATGGGACAAACAATAGCCTCATTTCAGTCAGTGGGTAGAAAGCACCTATGTAGAGACTTCATAACAAGTTGTGTAATCGGAGGGTAAAGTTCATCAGCCACCTCGTACAACAGTTTGGGATGAATAGCATCCCCACCGGCAGCTTTACTGGGATTTACTTCCCTCAGAAGCAGGCACACTTGAGTCTCCGTTATGGAAATTTCCTCCAAGTGGGGGCTCTCAGGAACTTTTGCCTGCAGACTGATATGCGGCAGCTGCGACTCTCGAACATAAACCCCAGCATACTGTTCTCCTAGCAAACAAGCTTTTCCGTGATCTGTGACAGCATCAGTGCCGTCAGGGCCAAACAACACTGAGATGCACGAGTACATGTTGCTTCACCTTTTGACATACGCGAAGAAACGTTTCGGGTTTGATGAGGCTATACGAGCAAGCTCTACTTCATGCTGTAGTCGAGCACCTCGTAGATGCGGCCTGCAGACATCTGGAGCCTCACGGTAGCGTTTGAAGGTGCATGATAAAGGAGCAGATAAGTAAGTGCGCCAACATCTGGCACGTCTGTTAAGTTGTTTGCGTATAGCAGAATCAAACCAGGATGGCTTTGCCCTAGTTTTATTCCTACCAGACAGTGGTGTATTGGGGGGGGGGGGAGAGCTCACTCAAGTATGATTTAAATCTCTCCCAGGTCGTTAGAATGTCGTCACTTTCCAAAATGACACAAAGCGAATTTTCGGTCTTGGCTTTCATTGTCTGAAAGTCCGCGCGCCATATGTTTGGAACTCGGTCGGGACGATTATTAGTCTGAGGACTAAGGGCGCACGTAAGTGAGAGAATTGCGTGGTCACTAGCATTGTGTGGTGGGTTGTATACAATATCCGTGACAAAATCAGTGGATTTAGCGAAGATCAAATCCAAGAGGGACGGGTTTTGA